AAGTGGAGAGAAAGTAAAGAAATTACTAAATCTTACTTTGAGACTGTTGTTAATGAATAAAATTGTCAATCTGTTTATACAAACATAAGGTTCAGGCAACTGGAAATGCCCATGGTTTGAAACATAAGTTTATTTAATCCTGTATACATAATCACTTCAGCATCACTATATAGCTCTTCATTACATATAAAGAAGTCTGCCTTAATATTACTCTACAATAAAAGAAGTTAAATATCATTGATTACAAAAAAAGTGCAATTGTTGTATTACTAGTTTAAAATTGTTAGATAAACTTTAGGGAAAACATAACAAACACCACCTCTGTTCCATTACCATCACCAATGCAATTTTTCTCATCACAAAGCATAGATACTTCTGACCATGATAAACTATGCATAACATTTGAGATACATGTACTTTTTCCTCTGAAAAGATACAGAAGCAATGGACTACCTAGCTGATTTCTTTAAGAATTCAAATGGTAGGAAGATTTCCAAACAAAGTAGCTAAAAGCCCAAAACAACAAACTCTGCTGCTTATCCTAAAAAGACCCTCCTCTCTCTCTTCAAACACACACATGTAAATCCAGTATTCTGCATCAGTAGCCTTTTATGTCCCTGAAGTTCACAATATAAAAACAAAGGCTTTCAGGAAGGACCTGATACATCAGGTTACGAAACAGTGCTACATCATACGATGCAATTTTACTTAGACGGGTCTACAGGTTTAGTTTATGTTGTTTTATATATATACACATACACACACACATATACAAACAAAAAACCCGCAGAACATTATGTCATTCTGGAAAACCCACTTATTAAAATCATCACTGAGTTTGCTACAATATTATTCATATATCTGCTACTGCTAATAACAGTTATGAAATGCTTTGGTAGATTTTTGCTGTTTCTATTGTCGCTGGGGGAAAAAAGAACTATCAGACCCATATCTCCAGAAAAACCATGCTATATATTTCCAGAGTATTCAAGTATCTTTAATCATATTCTCATTTCTCTGCGTCACCACAAATGTGGATGAGAAAGAAACGCACACCAAGATCAACCAAAAAAGCTTTGTATTCAAAAGAAAAGGTGTTTGCTATTGCACTGGCCCTACAAGAATGCCTCCCTCAGGCAGCACCACTGAAGTAGGCTACAAGGAAACAAACAAGAAATGCTCAATTTGTGTTAAGACAGAACAGTTACTCAGAGGTACAACAACTACGTAAAGAGTTAATTACATTCGATAGATTGTGAGGAACGGCACAACTGCAGAATATGGCAAAGACTGAGAATAATCCTGATCTTCAAACCAGCAAAGCTGGATAGTGAGAATCATTGGCACTGACCACAGGCATTCCCTGAGCAAACTGGGCTTGGCCTCTTCACAGCACCAACAGCACCACAGAAGCCACATAAAGCTAAGAAATCAAATATGTAGCTAATGGAAAAAAAGTCAATGTGTTGATCAGTCTGCCACAGAGTGTGGTGCTGAGGAACATGCTGGAAGATGTCAATTGTGAACACATCAAAACAAAACTGCAAGCAGGTCGAAGCCTCCTTCACCCCCCTGAGTAACCCTCAGCTGTATTTAGCACACCAGCTCTAAGCATATGTTTTCTTCATTAAATGTTATTGCCTGAAGCAAACAAGCAATGAACCCATCCACATTGTCCATAAAAGCACACGTAGGAGAAAAACTATTCAAACTGAGTTCTACTGCGATTTTTAATGATGATAGTGATATAAAATATGAGAGCTTACTAGAATATCAGACAGTCTAGTTTAACTCTGCAGCTGAAGAGACTAGCACAATTCCACCCGAAGGTTGAAATGACCACAAAACAAGCTCTTGTCCTACCAACAAAATTTACCATCTGATGTGCAAAAAACTAGTTTGGGAGAAGTTTAAAGGAATGGAGGAAGCGATAAAGTTGAGAAGGAGTATCATACTGTGTAAATGGTTTTTATTCACTGATGCAGTAAACACAAAAATCCTCCCTTAGTGAAAGGCAGAGTAAACAGAAGAGGATTAACGCCACAGTTCAGATTTCTACCTGAAGGCAGTGCCAGGGAAGGCGTCCGACCGCCCACACTGCTGCTACAGGCAGCCAGCACTTCACGTGGAGCAGAGGGAAAGCTGGCAGCGCTGCTTGCTCACTTACATCCCCAAACAATCCTAAGCTGGACTCGGTCAGCATCCTGGTCCTCAGTGGTGTCTCAGCAAGCCAAAGCAGTTTTGGCCACATGCCCACTATCAATTTCCCTGCAACAGAAATCGCTTCTGTTGCTTGCTGAGAAGTCTAGCGCTGTGAATAACGGTAAGCACACACCTACCATTTCTCTATTTGATCAGTTTTTTACAGTGGGATTGAAAATATATGCAAAAGTAATTTTTCTACCACCTTCAGGCTTCAGTCTAATAATGAAAAATCTTTCAAGATACCTTTCTGACCACTGCGTAGTATGTAGCTTCATATTGCAAAGATCTTTCCACACAGAGCAAAGGGACATAATTGTGCAGTGGAATTCCAAAAATCTTTGCATCAGACACCTCCTAACACAGAGAAGATTCCTTTCACAGACACCAAATAACTACATTCACTATGTGGATGTGTTATTTGTGCACTGACCAGGTCAGTTTTAATAGATAAGAGTGTCCACTCCTCCGCCTCCCTCTAAATCTTTTATCTATCCAAAATATTATTCAGTTACCCAGAATCAGTAGTAACATATGCCTGAGTACCAGGGACTTCTTTCATTAATTTGGTAGGTAGCATGCAGGTATTAATAAGGTCATCAACAAAATTAACTTCGACACTACATCTAAATTCTACTTCCAGCTTGAATCTACCATTGTCAAATTAATGAATGCCTCTGCCTCGATAACACGTGAAGCACTCAGAGAGGCGCAAGTGGTAAAACTGTATCAACCAAAAAAACTGATGAAAAGGATGATGAAATATTGAGCACAGATAACATTTAGTTTCCAACTTGTATTAAAAGACTGAATTAAAAGACCTGTAAAAACAACCATAAAGATGCAAACACATAAGCCACCATTTAGACTATAACACCACCATCCCTCATTTACCACTTGTAAAACATTGCTACAGCTCTGCAGAAATACTGAAAGAACAAGGCACAAGCATGTCCAAATACTATCTGTTATGATTTATCACCTGAGATGATATGAGTAACTGATATTTTTTTTAACCTCCTCTGTTTTCTACATTAATAAAACAAGAGTAATATATTGCTTAACACTGGATTGGACAACAGTTCAAACAGTACATGTCAAATGATATTATTTTTCTGGAAGGATTTTTTATATCAAAATTAGATACAGAGAAAAAGTTAAGGATAACAGGAAGTAATGTATGATCAAGGTCAAGACAGAGCTAAAGAAACATTGGCTATAAAAAGCTTCAAGAGACTGAGGAGCAAATTTCTTCAGTTTTCATATCAACTAAAACTTGAAATGAGAAAAGTTCCAAATTAATATGGAAAAGGTTAATCTCTTTTTGTAAATAATATATTAATTTTTAATCTGAATTTAATATTTCTTACATTGCCCTGAGTAAGGATTCACTAAGTCTACTTTAATTGACCACAGTTTTGTATACAATATGGAATTCCATAAAACAGTACTTAAATCAAATGTTGAATACTCAATTTTTGGTACTATTTGATTAGTCAAAAGAACAGAGATTCTAATAAATAATCTAGTCTTAAAACAGATCTTTGCATAAGGTAAAACTAATTACTTATGCAGGTACCATGAAAGCCTTCTCCACTTCAAAGTACATTTACTTCATTTACTACATCTTCTCTTGTTCTACTTTGGTTGCTCACACATTTTTTGTAGACGTCAAGTGCTAATTTTAAATAATGGAAGATGTTAAGGAATGGCAACAATCCTTTTACCACCACCTTCTTTTACCACTATTCTCACTCAAGAGGTTTTTCAGTGGCCACAAATTATTATCTAGTGCTGGTCCACAAACTTAAGGACTAAATGCTTTACAGATGTCACTAAATCTTAAGTATATGAACCTCTTAGATGCACATTTAGTACTAACAGCTACTATATAGGTTTTGAACTACAGAGGTTTATCTTAAAGACAGCATTACACAAATCTTGAATGGAGCTACTAGAACCAAGTAATACTCAGTGTGAAGGTGACTTAATCCCACCATTTTAGGAAAGCAAAAACTTGTTAGTTTGAAAAAATTTGTCTAACTTGTTGAATCAAGCACCATTTCCAAGCACCACTTCCAACCAACAAGAAAAGCTTCATGACCAATGATTAAGTACCATGTTGAATTACTTCAGACAAAAGATAAGAAACTGGTCTTTAAAAAGGGGTAGAACTAAATATAATGTTTTTCAACCTGTGCTTTTTTTTTAGCTAGTGACCTCCAAAAATGTACAGGGGAACAGGAACCCTGATGTAAAAAAAACCAAAAAACCAAAACCAACAAGAAACCTGTGAAGTTTTGTTTGTTTTTTCCTCACTCGTTTTTAAGTAGCAGTCCTGCACCTCTCTACCCATTCCTACTATCAAAGCAGGACTCGGGATTATGTCAGAGACAGATCTGCGAAGAGGAAGAAACTGAGGAAGCATCAGAATACATTCAAGCCATGACTTGTAACACTTGGTAGTCTTTTGACTTTGTGACTAAGATTACCGATGGAATGAAGGAACCACAGACACTGAAAAGCCGATGGGAACGGATCAGTGCAGTTAACAGACTAACCAGAAGCTGCAGAAAGGCACAGTCTGATAACCACATAACTGGGAGGCTATTAAGAGTTTTTCTCCAGATGAAAGTGTCCATCAAATGACCTCTACCGTGCCTGTAAACTGGAGGGAAATGCAAGTGTTGCCTGCCGTATAGGTAAAGGCTGGGGGGAATTCACAGGCTGCTTGGAAAGAAGAGGAGCAGGTAGGAGGAGAGGCACTACTGTCCAAGCCTCCATCCCGAAGGCCTCTACTCACCTACGGAACGGCTGAGGCTGCTCCTCCTGCAAGAAGACCATTTGGGGCATCAGCAGCAGTGGGAAAAGTCCCGCTGTGCAACCAGGGAAGTGGGGAGAGCACCTACAAACAAAAATGGAACAAAATGTAAAACTGAATTTAAGGAAGCTGAGATAGTTGAAGATCACTGGATCCTAAATTCTAAGAAAATATATTTGAAACTTCAAAGGAAATCAAATTATATATCCCAGGCTTAGAAACTGTTCTTTTGTGTGTTTTAATAAAATGGAAGATTTTATTCCAAAGAAATTCCTGGAAAATTCCCAACTATAAACAGTTATATGAGAAATTCAGTTCATATACAAACCAACTTCATGAACACCAGATACAAGCTAAGTAGAGGAAATTGTAAGAAACCTGCATCCAATAAATTAAATCAATATTTCATATACTAACGTTTCCGCACCCATGTCAATCTACAGGAAAGCGACAATGTCTCTGTAATTGCTTATTACCTTCTAGTACAAAGCTGAAATAAAAGCACACATGATGCATCTGAAAAAACCTGGGACTTAGAGGAAAGGCAAGTGGTATATTTGTTTATATAAATATTTCCCACCCAATTTCCAAATTCTTATTATGTTAGAAGAAAATTATAGAGGATTACACTGTGCCACAAAGTGACACTCATTACAACATACTGTCCCAGTCTGGGCCTTGAGACCTATCAGTACTAATAAAAAGACTCAGAAAATTGCCAGTCTAAGCTCTATGACAAGGAACGTAGGAGTTTATTTATATGACTTGATTTAAACACAAAAAATTACAAACTCAACTACTAATCCTTTTTGTCTGTGCTACAATATAAGCCTTCAATAGATCTATTACCAATAACTACTGTTAATTAAACAAGTACACCAAGGGAATATTTTCTTCCATGTAAAAGAAAAAAAAAAAGCAACAACTCAATTAAATTCTAAATTCTGTATTGAAAAAATATTAGATAAAAACCTCTTAATCACCTTTGACAATCAATCTCACCCTAAATGTTTAAAATAATTAATCACATTGAAGACAGATGAGTTATTTGTTTAAAGGCTACAGTCATAAAACCAGTAATGTCTCACATTTATAGAGCTATTTAGAATTAACACAAAGGCATTTTTTGCATGAATAGCTTCCTGCAATTTCAGAATCCCAGGAATGCAAATTCAGTTATGAAACCAATTAATCTTTTAAATTACTTAATTATCTCTCAGGTCCAACAAACAGTCAATTGTAAAATGCGAGAGAAATGGGGGGCAGAATGAAGGCATTTAAAAGTGTACAACCTCTAACCTACTCCCAAAGAACAACTGCCCTCTGGAAGCGGCAGCTACCTCTGCAAGGCAGGAGCCTTGGTACATGTGTGAGCAGCAGGGCTTGCAGCACTCTGGCTGGAGTGTTCTAAGTGCCTGGGTATACTCCATTTGAGATGAGCACACACTGTCCTCAGAAGAGGTGAATATGAAGCAAACTGTCAGCAACAAGCACCTTGGAATTCAGCTTTTATCTCAAAAGGTTTTTTCAACCTTTCTGGAGTAGGTTCATCTGTTTCTTCTCTCTTAAGATAGCTTGAGAAAATATATGTTCCTTGTAAATAAAAGCCGGGTCTTCTTCACTGCAATTTATCAGGCTTATTTTGATTTAGCACTGACTACTGTTCAGATATACTTTTCCCACTATTTACTTGATTTTTGCTAATTTCCTCTTATTTTGTCTATTTGGTGCATTAATCTGGAGAGGTTTGCCCCACATATAACACTGTAAACAGTGACAAATATCTGCTGCATGTTCTCAAGAGACCACTACAGTACTTTATACACTTGCCTATCACAGGCTCCCTACCTTTTTTTCAGGGCTGGGTAGTCCACAGCACTTGTTTTCTTTTCCAAATCGAAACTGTTTGCTTTTTTGAAATGTCAAGATAAAAAGCAGCATTGGCTTATTCCATTAAAAAAAAAACAAAAACAAGTCTTAAAATAGCCTGCTTATATTGTTTGCCGCCCAGTTACTTGTCTGCAAGCCCATTCAATACACTGACCTTCAGCTCCTGATTTCAAACACATTTCAGTTGTAAATGTGTAGTTTTCTTTGAAACCAAATCTCAAGTGCCATAGATATTTTGCCAAGTTTTAAAATAAAAATCACATTATGTTGAAAGAATATATGGAGAAAAAAAACCCACATCCCACAAAAAAACCAAAATACGGTGGTATTAAAAGTCTCTGGTTTAGTCAGAATTTCTAATGATGAAATCCAATTAAGACTTTTACCATTTCCCTTTAAAATCATATTTCGGTTGCTTCTAACTGGCAAACTGCCCCTTTAACCCAGAATTATTTGTATTTCATCCCAAGGCTTTCCTATTAAGGAGAAAAAACATAACATTTCAGCCATGTCAACTTGGATTTCTTCAAGGAAACGAGAGAAGAAAAGCAATACTGGCATTTCTTGCCAGTGCTAAAAGCAAGTTGATCCTTTTTTATTTGAGTTTCCCAAGCTTATGTAATCTGCTAGCACCTCTGCCTGAGAGCTTTTAAACTGGTTGCCAGTTTCAGTCAAATAAGGACAAAGTTTGAAACACAGGAAAATAAACGCCTAAAAGGTAAGGGGTATGGAAGAATGAAGCCAGTGTCTGATTACTGCTATTATCTAGTGACCTGAGAGACAGAAAACTAAAAAAGTTAGCTTTTTTTGTTGTTGGGTTTGGGGTTGGTTTTGGAGGGGTGGTTGGGTTTTTTTGGTGGTTTTTTTGTTTGTTTGTTTGTTTTGTTTTTTGTTTTTGTTTGTTTGCTTGTTACTGTTGATTTTTTTTTAAAATTCAATACTGGTTTGCCTTTTTAAAATAGTTTGCAGACAATTATATGTTTAGCTGTTAATTACATACCATGCATCTTTCTTTGCCTAGTGTAGGTGCCACAAAAGATGCAAAAAGAGTCACAAAAACATAAAATACAGGAGAAACGTGTAACGGTGACAAAGAGTTTTGTATCCCATCGACACACAGAACTTTAGTGACTTGGATCCCGGTCTCCCATTTCCCTATTAACCACAGTGCAACAAATCCATACTTTTGACACATGAAAAAAAGCACCTAATGTATCACAATTACACCTACCAGAAACTAATCTAATCAAAATAGTCCAGTAAATTCTTTAACCCTTTCAAAGAACAGATGTACCACTCTATCTTACTATGCATAGGCTTTTGGGGCTTTCCTTTAGATAGAGATGTGGTAAAATAGATTATGTAAGGATGAAACACTCTAGAAAGGAAAAGTTTAAACTGTTGCTCCTTTTTTTACTATTAAGGGTAACTTTTATACTAAGCCTATGTTTATATGTTTATAATAACCATGTCAAGGTTGAAAACATGACATAGTGCTGCTAGACACCATACTTTGCTATGAAAGAGACTGGTTTAAGTAAATTAGAAGTAGAGAGAAGAGATAAAGTCATAATTATATTTTTTATTTATGAACTTAGACACTACATCTAAATTTATGAACTTTGTTTATGCTATGTACAGAGGAATATGGGAGAAGATAAGCTGCGGTGTAGAAGAGACAGTGGTGGAGGGGTCAGGAGAAGCTGGTCTGGACAGACAGCTGGAAGAGAGTGAGAGGAGCTGGAGCTATTCAGCCAGCAGAGGAAAGAAACTCTCCATACCAGAAGCACCTTTAAACTGCTGCTACTGCTGTTTGAAGGGGCAGCTTTCAATTCTTTATGGCTCTTCTACAAGACTGCTTTTTGAAGGCCTTTTACTTCAGGCATAAAAATAAGTTCAAGTGCCCTCATTAAGTAAAGCAGCTTTGTCAGTCTCCAAATCTGTAACACACACAACTGGTAGATGATCCCTTTACCCCATGCTTTAAGGTTATGCTGGGAGCAGCACATGAAAACCGTGAGCACAATTTTATTTGCACACCTTCCTCCGTGAGACTTTAGGGATAACAGTTCGGACACTTCTTACACAATAAAACATTATTTTTGTCCTGCTGAAGTTCTCTTGTTGGTACAAGTTACTATGACATGAAAAGCATTATGAAAAATAGAAATACTGTACTGTTGCAAGATTTCCTTAGTTTTAAATTAGCTCCATGAATTAAATGATTAAGCACTTCATGGGGCAATAGAGATGAGTCTAAAAAGCTCCACAGTATCTTTCATATTTTTGAAATTAAAAGAGCTGTCATTATTATTAACAGAAAGCAAAGGTTTAGTCTACTGTGCAAGTCAGGATTTTCATACTGTCAAAGGCGTAAGAGCTCTGTCGCATTTTTGGTGAACCAGAAAAACACCAAAAGACTGTTGAGGCAAAGTAGGACACTGATAAAAAACAGCAAGGAGAAGGTACAAAACCCCAAAAGGGAACAACAAAAAAAAATAAATTCTTGCCCTTACTCCCTATTTGCTTGCAACATAATTACTTGGGAAAATTACTTTGGACATAAACATTTGCTGGACTTTTTCGTCTCTGAAAAGATAAATACATGCACAGAACATGTTCATTTGTATATTCAAACTTCTTTTTAAAGACTAGAATTCTTAAAACTTCATGGTTACTTCTACAGTTATGAAACAAAACAAGAATGTCTCAATTGGACTTTGAAATTAAAGCTGGGTTTTGAAATTAAAACCTGACCAGAACGCAGGGAGTTTATGCTAAAGGATGTTGTATACTAGGTGAGACACACCATCAAGAGTAATTTTCTTCCAAATCAAAATTTTCCTGCAATACCTGCAAAGTGGCATTTTAACACCACTGTTAAAGCAATCATTCATTGAAGAATGTAGCATTAATATTTTTATACAGTAGAATCCTTGCAGTTTGAAGATATTAAGATGGAGGCATACTAAGAAAATTGTATAAGAAATTCAGGCATTTAGTTCATGATTATCCCTGTTTCTGAATTGGATGTTATTTCTATTAACCTACAATTCTTTGAAAGAAGCAATACTCTTAAGGCTTTATTTTAAAAGTTGCACTGACCACAATACTTTCATTTTATGATCAAAAAAGAGAGCAGCATGATCCAGCAGTGCCTTCCTGTCTTACATGCCTACCCTAGAAAATTTTCC